TGTAACCAGGAGACTGCTCAGAGCAGCTGGATGTAGGCCATCCTGCAGGCCCTGTGATCATGCTAAACCCTCTGACATGAACCCCTCTATGAACCCAATCTGCCCATCAGACATGTCCGCATGGTGCCTTATGCACAATAGCCGGGCCGTGCTGGGGCAGAGTACAGACCTGCCTGGAAGCAGCAGCAAAGCACCGTGGCCAGGGTCCTCCATGGCATCCAGGCACTCAGAGGGCACAGCTGAGCCACCCGCACTGTCTGCATCCCCTTCAGGCTGCAGCTCGGGGTGCACCAGGGTGCTTGTGTCCTCGTCGGTGAAGGTCTCGCACTCACTGTAGGTGCTCTCAGAGCCCATGTATGCGCTGTCTGTCACCTCGTTGGCCTAGGAGAGAATGCCAAGAGTCAGTCCTGGCACCTTGGAAATGATGATGCCCATGTGTGGCAAGTAATACAAAAAACCGCGATGCCCGGCACAGCGCACTGCTGCTGCGGGAATCGAAATGACCATGCGGAAGAAGAGTTCTCACGTGGGAGAAGTCCCTACTATATTTTTAAAGCAGAAACATTAGCTTGCAAAATGATTTAATATTTTTAAAACATGAAAAATGGTATATGTCCAAGTGCAGAAAAAGCTATTGGAGTACTTTTTAAAGTTAGTTATATAAATATACCTAAAACAGGTAAGAGCACCCCAACACATGATAAATTCCAGTAGAATCAACCACTCATTTTGTAGCCTCAAACATTAGAATTACTTATTTCCAAAGAATTAGCATTCGATAGTGTAAAAATATGCCTTTTTAAATTAAAAAGTCACATGAATATCTGTTATATACATTCAGGCTATTGCTTTGAAATTCAATTACATGGTCTAACCTCGAAATACTAATTAACCAATTATTTAATCAATCAATCATGTTCACTGGTTAAATGTCTACTTTCCCACTAAACATATCTTTATTTTTACATGTATGGACTTAGTTAGCATCTAGCACTGGGATGGCACACAGCACGCAAGACATATTTGTGGATTGTACAAATGAACTTAAAACTAAAGAACCATTAAATAAGCCATCTTCAATTTATCGCCTCAACTTTAATTAAAAAGCAATTTCATTGGTTAAAAAAAAGTAGCCACCATGTCATGCTTGTAGGATTCTGAGGTTAACAATTTACAAACAGGTGAGATTTCATAAAGTGGCTGGAGATAGGTGTACTTTGTACGCAGGTTCGGGTATCACAGGAGGTGGACAATATGCTCAGATGTGCTGTGGTTAACAAAAAGTCACCAGTCCTTGGCTACCTTGGGGACAACTAGAGGACCTTGCACGGCTGCGTCCCCAAGGCTCCTTGCCCCATCGAAGCGATATGAAGGATCCTGGCCGAGCTGTCGGGAGCCTGGTGTGGCTGATGAGAGGCCGAAGTCCATCCTTGGTCTGCTGTCTACAAAACCCTATGACCCCAGAATAGGGTCTCAACCACCCTGAGCTCTGCTACCTAATTTATAAAATGGGAGTTGTAAATGCTGATCTCATATAGGATCAAGAAAGACTACAAAGGCTGGTGCAGAAACAGAAACTAAAAGACTATAGGGTTCATGTGTCATTGGTGGGCGGAATCCCTGCCAGTTGCTTATAAGGCCAGAATAAAATGGCGAATGACATGAGATGTACCTATTCAGGTGTTCAATGATGTTACTTATATTTCCATGGGAAAACCTAATTTGCCTTGGAACCTAAACTCACTTCGAAATTTGAAACCAAGAAATCACTTGAATAGGCACCCGCTCTCATTCTAGTTATCATCCCTGAGAAGGTCTTTCTCTTTCTGCCAGGCGCAGGCTGGCTCTGTGCAGGTAACACAGGCTGAGACGAGCTGTCTGAACCGAGCAAGTGCCAGTATGTCAGGAGCTGGCCTGAGGAGGAAGCACCACGGCCAACTCCTGACGTCCTCTGAGGGGTGGCTGTTGATCAGCTGCCCAGATGGCACTGCTCACATGGGATACTACTTGAGAACCACCCAAGGGCACCAAGAAGACCCCCAGACTTCTAACCACAATGACAAAGACCAGTTAGCTTTTCAGTATTCAGCTGAAAACTCCTATAAGAGCACTGTTCCTTATCTGCAGGACATTCCCAAGGACACCTCCCCCGCCTCAACCTCAGTCCTTGGCCCCAGGAAATAGGCAGGGCCCACATAATCCTTACCACACAGGGCCCCCCAGATACTGACTGGGGACCATCTGAAATGATTTTCTGTGGAAAATAGAACTCGAGTCTTGAGGTCAGCTTTTAAAAAGTCAACCAACAAGTGCTTCTGACAGATGTACGATGCTCTTCTCTCAGCTGCATGGACCTCATGCCGCTGATGGCAGCTCAGTTTTTATATGGACAAATCAACTGGGCACCCAGCTAGCATTTCTCCCCAGGGAAGGGAAGAAGATCCAGGCACTTGGGCCTGTTTATTTCACCTGCAAGGAGCTGACACCAATTGTGCAGCTGAGGCCAGGGCTGTAGCTAAAACCCCCTTGGCCAGGGCAGTTCAGGATGAAAGTAGTTTTCCATCGACAGAGGAACAATGAGGCGGACACTATACAAACCTAACTGCCTCAAGTCAGGCACTCACACATTCCATCCTGGGCATCTCCCCACCATTTAAACAGATAGAAGAAGAGAAAAGAATGCTCCCCCACCCCACTTTCAGTTCTCTTTTCTAAAGCAAACCCACTATCCTGTACTGATGGAAAGTCATACGCAGATTAAACACTGTTCCCTACTTCACAAAAAGCTTTATGTTTGCATTTATAACTTAATTTGCCTCAAATTATAAATAAATGAGTTTTGAAGATCCTGTCCTCACAGCACAGCTACAAACACTCAGACACCCTGGTGGAGGTGCTGGGCAGTAAACAGCCTCTTACCTGGAGCATCCTATGCAGCCTGAGGGCACAGACAGTGGCCCAAAAAAGACAGGAGACTGATCAGCTCTGTAAGTCCCCAGGATGAAGCCCAGGGAGGGCCAAGTGGCTGGGAGGACAGGGACAACTCATTTCCCAGGTGCTGCCCCAACCCCCGCCCCCCATGCAGTCTCTGAGGGTCAGCTTCTATTGGTCAAGGTTGCCCTGAGTAAATGTCAGCCAGCAGAGAGTTTTTCAAGGCAGTTGAGTAAACATCTGCTTTCTAAGAGGCAGAAAGTCATCTTAGACCATGGTGCATGCTAATCTATAGTCTACTTGGACAAAACATAAGAGTGATTCATAGACATGGCCATCCATTCATATTTGCCACCAGACGGGACCTACTTTTACCCAGAAGCCCACAAGTCAATGCTGTCAACTTCAAAAATGTTTACAAATTATACATTAAGATGAACTCATGTGGAAATCTATGTTACATGTTGTTAGCTTCGCCAGTTAACAAATGATCTGTCAACAGATACACAAGTAAGGCCATGTACAGAGCGACCAATGAGAAGAAATTCAGGTGTGGCCAACCCTACCCAGGGTCCCCACTGTTCAGGTCAAGGTCCCTCAGAGAGAAAGTGACTGCCGGGCATGGTGTGAGCCAGCGTCCCACCATAACACAGCCTCTTCTTACCCTCAGATGCTAGCCCAGGTGGCCTCGTGGGCTGGGCCTGGCTCCACACACCGGCTCCAGGCAAGGCGTGCTCTTGGAGACAGCCTCCCCATCGACTCAGAAGCTCTAGGGCCTTCTGTCCAGACTGGTCACTAGCTTCTCAAATGACAAGCCGTGCTGGGATTTCTGCAAAACCTGTGTGTTCACCTGAAGGTACATAACTGCCTGGGAAAAAGTTTAACATGCTCCCAGACACGCTCTGTTAAACCTCCTGCTGTGCCGGCCAGGGTAGGGAGCAAAGTCCAGGAAGTGTCCTTGCTAGGTTCTTAACAAATAGTTAGTCAGATCTCAAAACAGACTGGCTTTTGTTCTTGACACTCTAACATTTCTGATAACAGTTTGCACAAAAGACACATTTCCCTGTCATTTTACTAAGGCAGCTATTTTCTCTAGATGCTGGTAGTGGGAGAAGGAGGGAGGCACAGCAGGGACAATCCTTATCAGTTCTGTTTGCTTCTGTTCAGGACTTTCTCATCCCCTTCTAGAAATCCTGATGTGCAAGATCGCCCCCTGTAGGCCTTTAGCACGCCATCCTCTAGCTCATAAAGATTTTCAGATAGAGCTTTCTTCTCATTCCCTGTACCTCAATGACAAACCTTAAGTCACCTCCTCCCCTTCTTCTCAGAGATGCTACATTAGTAACTTTCTCCTAGGAGTTCTGTTACAAGTGACAAGCCAAAGAGATGCTCAGGGAAATGCTGGGAGCTACAAGACCCACTGAATGGCCCAGCAGGAAAAGGACCAGGAGCAGCAGCCCATCAGTAGTTCCCTGCACAGGATTCCTGGACCAACAATGTTGTGTGCCCAGCCAGAAAAATCAATAAGAGGCTTATTTGTCTCTGAAGATTGCCAGCAGAGGCAATCTTCAGAGACAAATGTGGTATTCGGCTGTAATGCATATATTCTCCACTCATATTTTTATTGGACCTCTTAAGATTACACAATGTACAAGCATTTTTTTAAAGCAATCTTTCTATAAGTTTCACAGTATTTAGTTCTACTCCCCTAAAAATTATATCTAAAAACCTTAAAAAGCATAAAAAGACATGGAAGAATCTTAAATGCATATTACTAAGCGAAAGAAGCCAGTCAGCAGAGGCTATACACTGTATGATTCAACAGTGTAACATTCTGCAAAACGCAAAACGATGGGACAGTAAAAGATCACTGGTCGCTGGGTGTTAGTAGCGGGAGGGATGAATCAGGAGAGTACAGAGGATTTTTAGGGAAATGACACTACTCTGTATTATACAATGGTGGATACATGACATTGTACATTTGTCAAAACCCACAGACTATACAACACCAAGAGTGAACCCTAATGTAAACTACAGACTTTAGTTAATAATAATGCATCAATACTGGTTCATCGATTTTAACAAATGTACCACACTAAGGCAAGATGTTCATGATGAAGGAAATTGCAAGTGTGTGGGGTTATGATGGGACCTCTCTTTACTATCATCTGTTCTATTTTCTGTAAACCTAAAACTGCTAAAATATAAAATATTTTTTTAAGTAACAAAAAAACAAAAAAAAAATGTTTTCTTTATTCTGGAAAAAAAAAAAAGGATCTAAAAACCTAAGAAGCATTCCTTTTGCATACTCTTTGAACTGTCCTGGCATGCACACCTCCAGGGATGAGGCACCACAGAGGTGGGAGGGCCACAGTCATGAGGGCTGTGGGGGATAGGGATCTACCCATTCAGAGGACAAAAGGTGGCCAGGGTCAAACAGCACCCCTGCCTGCTCCACCCAGGCTTCAGGAGGCAGCCCCACTGCAGTGGCTCACCTGTTTGGGCCAAATGGGAACTTTAAGGACAAAATGTGTTGATGCCTTTTACTATCCTGAATAATAAAATACTGAATTAGTTTCCTGGGGTTGCCATATCAAATTACCATAATTAAGCAGCTTAATAACAACAGGAATGTATCTTCTCACAGTTATGAAGACCAGAAGTCCCAAATCAAGGTGTCAGCAGGGTTGAATTCTTCTTCCCTGCTTCTTCCAGCTTCAGCTGGCTCCTGCTGGTTCTGGGCTTGTGGCCACATCACTCCAGCCTCTGCTTCTGTCTTCATAGTGCCTCCTTCCCTGTGTGTCATCTCCCTTTCTCGTCTAAGGACACTCTACCCAGCATGATCTCATCTTGAGAGTCTTTAACTTAATTACATTGGCAAAGATCCTTTCTCTAAGTTCACAGGTTCTAGGTGGACGAATCTTTTGGGAGACCACACTTTGACCCACTATACCCACCTACACATAAAATTTTAAAAATCGATATAATGCTCGAGCAGAAATATGAGAGAGAAATAAAAGACACCAATGAGAAAGTGTGCGTAGTGGGATATGTGGTAAGGGTACAGTGCTGACGACCTAGGTGACAGGATCCTGTACTACTGCCAAAAAAGGCAATCTGTCTCTCCCTCCCAGAAGCTCCAAACAAGAAAGGAAGGCTCATCCCCTGAGCTAACCGCATGCCAGGAAAATGCAATGTGTGCTGCACCACACCTTGCTGTAAAATGGAGCTGGGACCAACTCAGGCCACATAAGCAGCCTCTTCACAGTCATGGGGGCTGTTCATCTGAAAGCCGACACGTCAAGAGTTTTGCACACCCGAGGCCCTCCGCCTGGCCACACTGTATCTTGAAGCCAGTACAAGTCCCAGCCAGGCATTGGCCTCCACATGCCAGGACCGAGTCTGGCACACCCAGAATGAACACAGGGGATGCAATACATGGTGGTCCCTGTCTCATGCCCAGCTGGTACTTTGGGACAAAGCTGTGAAGAGTGAACACTCCCAGGTGGCCTGCAGGTCTGTGCTGGCAGAAGTCATAGTCAGGAAGTGAGCCTGTGTTATCTGAGGGGTGACCAATACCTGGGGCAGCTTCTCAGAGCAGGGACTTGAGACACAGAAGAAAAGCAGTAGAGTCCTGTGGTTGGTTAGCATTCAAAGGTACTTTCAGAAACTATTCTGTGCAACCCCCTCATTTCACAAAGGAGCCAAGGCTCAGAAGACTGACACACAGGGCCTTAGGCCCACCAGGGCACAGTCCAACCCTGCTTCCCAAGCCACTCACTGGGCTACAGAGGGTTGAGGGACTGGCGGTGGCCACCACAGCCTTCCCTAATAGCTCTTCACAGACTCAGGATTATCTAGAGCATTAAAAAAAAAAAAAAAAAAATCCCAGATCCAGCCACCTGGGGTCTCCCAGTATCTGCCCCCACCAAATGATGGGACACAGTGACAGTGGTCTGTCTTCTGAGGCTATGCTCACAGACCTTTCCTAAGTCTTGGCAGAGGACAAAACACCCACAGTTACAGGCAACACCATGCAACCATAGCAACCCTGGCTTCTTATGGGGGCAGGGGATGGGAGACGGCAACCAGATCCAGCCACCTGGGGTCTCCCAGTATCTGCCCCCACCAAATGATGGGACACAGTGACAGTGGTCTGTCTTCTGAGGCTATGCTCACAGACCTTTCCTAAGTCTTGGCAGAGGACAAAACACCCACAGTTACAGGCAACACCATGCAACCATAGCAACCCTGGCTTCTTATGGGGGCAGGGGATGGGAGACGGCAAGGTATTAATCAAATGTCCCTAGATCCAAAAAATAGTTTTGAAATTTGATAAAAAAAAATCCCATGACATATTCCCTGTTCTGGCCTTAATTAGCAGCATGGCAGAAGGTGACAGCATCACCAGAGAGCCCTAACTGCTCAGCGAGTTGCTCTACTAGCAACAAGCCCCAAGGAACATCTCCTGCCAAGGGCCTCGAGTGTTCAATGCTTGGCATAGACTGCCTGCTGTGGCCGTGAGCCCCCGGAGCCCAGTGCCCACAGACCACAGTGCCCTTCACAGTGTGTGCAGAGCTGCAGAGTGAGTCCTGCCCTGCCCTTTAGGCCATTTCCTGTATAAACAGTCCAGGGGCCACTGAGTGAAGTGGGACTTAGACTGCACAGAGGAGGAGGTATAACATCAAATTCCCTTTCAGCTCTCCCATAAAAACCACTTGCCTCAAAGGTAACGAAGTCCTCGAACTCATCAGGGCAGGCCTGTGGCTCCTCGTCCTGGGCAGATGCAACACCGCACAGCTGGCTGTCGGAGTCTGCGGGAAAAATGATCCAGACTCAGCAGGTAACCCAGACCATCCAGAGAGGTCAAAGGGGAAACTTCATGAGTGGTCAATGGGGCCTGGACTGGCTGTAAGAAACCCAGGAGGGAGAAAGCGGCATGGTTAGGATTGGAAGGTGGGCTCCCGACTGAAACAACACTTCGTGCCAGGGTTCTGAGGGTCAGTGTGGAGGCCGAATGGTAACTATTTCTTAAAAGGGCTGGACAGCACTGTAAAAGAAAAAAAGCACGATATCAGCTCTGTGATACTGTTCACGGGCTTTAAAAAGTATTAGGTGCCAGACTTAATTTTTTTTTTAAATTGTATGTGTTTGGGGAGGTGTAGGTATGATGAAATTGCACCAAAATAACCACTTTGTCCTTGGTGCTGGACTCACAGGCAGTTTTTATTTTCTTCTTTTTTGCTTAACTTATCTTTTACAATAAATGTTTTATTTTATAATAAGAAAAAGTTTAAAGAAAAAGCAATCTTTTTATGATGGACAGATTCTGATTTTGACATCAGTAATAGGGACATGACCTCTCAAACATGATCAGTTTCCACAAAGAAAAGGCAAAGGCTTCCACAGTCTCCCAGCCATGTTCTGGTATGTGCAAGTGATGAAAGATGCTTATGTTTTCTGATGTCGCCTCACTACTCTGATATTGTCATATCATAAGAAATATTTATTTGGTCTTCATCTGCTGGAATTTCCTGTGTGATAGGGTGAGAGGAATATCTGTTGTTATTCAACTCTTTCAACTTTACCTGAGTTTTAAACCAATGAGGTGACTCTTAAGGGATGAGAGCTGTTTGCCAGGGGAACTGACCTTGTAATTAGATGGTTGGAAATTTCAGCTCTGCTCTCACCTCCTTAGAGGGAGAAGGGCTGAAGACTGAGCTAATCATCAATGACCAATGACTTAATCAATCATGCCTGTGTACTGGACCCTCCATAAAAACCCTGAATGAGGGGGTTTAAAGAGCTTCTGGGTTAGTGAACACATCAACATATCAGGAGGGTGATGCATCCCAAACTCCACAGGGACAAAAACCCCTTCATTGTGGACCCTTCCAGACCCACCTTATATACCTCTTCATCTGGCTGTTCATTGCAACCTTTGTAATAAACTAGTGATAGAACTGGAGTGTTTCCCTGAGTTCTATGAGCCATTATAGCAAATTATTGAACCTGAGGAGGTGATCGTGTAAGACAGAAGTGTGGGTAACCTAGGTACCTGAAGTGGAGTCATGCTAACTCTGAGCGTTAAGTGTCAGAAGGAATTAAATGACAGGACACTCAGGTGGTATCTGCAGAGAACTGGAGAACTGCTTTGTGAGGAAAATCCATATACAGGGTGTCGAAGTGTGAGCAGAAAACATATCACACTAGTACTTTTTAAAAATTTATCAGTTACTTAAATCAGTTACTTATTCAATATATTTCACATAACGTCAGTCACTTATTTACAAAGTAGTCTTTTGAGGGCCAAATGGAAGAGCAAGCCTCCCTGGACCTTCCTGGGAAAAGTGCTTTGAAACAATCATGGCTGGCTTCCTTAGCCATTCTTTTTGGCACGTAGACCACTTGGGGAAATGCTGCTCTCCATCGCAATGTCTCCCAGCCAGGTTCTAAAGGGTCAGTGGTTTGAAGTCACTACTATAGCCAGTGTACCTGGAGAAAGGAGGATGGATGTTAAAGGACTCTCAGACACAGAGCAATAGCGGGACACACGGCTCCTCCATCCAGTTTCTAAAGAGCTCTCTCAGTTTAAACGGAATAATAATGCTCTCCCTCAACAACTGTGAAAATTCAAGCATTAATGCATTTAGTAATTACGAAACATCTCTGCCAATTCAATACCGCTTTGCAATGGCGATTAAGGCCCTTATACAAAAATCCCTTATGTGGCTTTTGCTTTCAGAATCATAGGTATCTTTGTTACTATTGTTTTGTATTGTTTTCCCTGGGAGGGTGGCTAAATATCTCAGTGGCAGGAGTGAAAGAACCTCAGAGCACGGCAGGCTGGACCTGACACAGAATGGCACTAGCCTTTGGATCCGGAACTTGCTACCCACCAAGCCAGCCAATAGCCCTGGAGTCTCCTGCACTGGAGGTTTGAGTCTTTGGTGCAAGTGAACTGCAGCAGAACTATATGTGCTCTTCTTGTTGAGGGAGAGGGCTGCTATGGACAGAAGTTTTCAGTTTCTGAGACAGGTAGTAGAGGAGGACCATTATCCCAGTGCAGTTTGAGATCACATGCATATTTTGTATAAGGCTGGAATGTCTCTGGCCTATTTTCCCCGTCTTGAATGTTAGCAGTCTTGCTTGCACTTCTGAAAACTGAAACACAGAATTTCAAACTCTCAAAACTTAACCAATCATTTCATATTCTAGTGGTAAGGATATGATCTAGGAGTCTTGCCCCATATGGTGAAGAGATGTAAACATAGCAGGCATTTTTACATTCTTGATGGGAACTAAATATGATTCATCCATCGGTTTTCTCTATAAGAACATGTGCATTTATCTTATTCTTCCAGAACCTGTGGGGAGGGAATGAGCCAGACCAATGGCCTATTTGTAACGATTTCCTCTCTATCTCATTCTAATTCTGAAATAAGGCCTGTGGTTATGACAGTAACAATCTCCTTGTGCTTTCCCAACAAACTAGGTCAATATATCGTATCACTTGCTATGCCTCTCCTGGATACAAAATAAAAGTCTGACAGGTGAGACAGGCAGTGAGCAGCTTACGACGGCACCCTACAAACTGTCAATATATCGTATCACTTGCTATGCCTCTCCTGGATACAAAATAAAAGTCTGACAGGTGAGACAGGCAGTGAGCAGCTTACGACGGCACACTAGAGCGAAGACCCAAAGTGAACTTGAGTTGAAATGCAGTTCGGGTAATCGTGCTTTCCATTCTTCCAAATGCTATAAAATAACTATTTCAAAATCATCTTTGACTTATTTTTGCTTTAATCTTATTTTCACTCTCCTTTCCTAACAAATTTAAACGACAAAGTTGTTACAAAAAAAAGTTTACAAATTACACACACACACAAGTAAAGCCAAGCCTGCAGCTCTGAGCGGACTCAACAGTACATTCAATGCATAGGGTTGGGTGTCCCCCCCAGCACTGCCTCCCCCAAGCCCACAACAGCTGCAGTCACCTGGAAGCCCAGCCTCTCACACCCACTCCAAAAGATGACTGATCTGCTGGCACTGAGCCAAGGGGCCACCCCACCTACCAGTCCCTCCAGGAGCCTGGGGCTGGAGTCAGACCATGATGTCAAGTCTTCCCACAGTGCCCACAGCCCGGCCTCGCCCCCACTTTCTGATCCTGATTGCCCGAACCAGCCACACTGGCACCCTTGCAGCTCCTGAAAGTGCAAGGTGCACTCTCCCCAGGCTCCCCACCTGGACCCTGCTGCCCCTTCCTAGACTTCCTCAGGGAGGCCTCAAATGACCACCCCTGGCTTCACCCTCCTCCTGAACTCCTGTCATCTCTCATAACTGTCCTGCCACATTGTTTGTGGGCTGTCTTCCACTAGAAAGCAGCTCCTGAGGGCAGGGACTCCATAATTCCTGGAGCCTGGAACAGTCCGGCTTAACAATGTCCATACTCAGGGTCCTTACAAATCTCAGCTGTGTCCTCCTTTGGCTGCAGCCCTTCCGTCCAGCCTGATTCCTCCTCTCAGCCCACCTATCCAAGGACCCTGCCCCATCCGTTGGCAGGGCCACCCCACTCACTAACTTTGTCCACGGCCCCCACCCTCTGCCCCCTCAACCATACACCCCAGCAGCAGACTGTCCCTGAGGGTTCAGGTCCCACCATCCCTTCAAGAGCAGGGGTCTGCTCTATAAAGGCTAAACTCAGGGTAGCGGGGCAACACCTGCAATGCACCCCACAATGTAGCATCATAATGAGACCAAGTCTCACCCTCTGGGGACACTTCTATTCCAGAATGTTCTTGCCACTGAAAAAATACAGTACCATTTCCAGAAGCATCTATGCTAACTCCAAGACTGGCTGGGAGGTCTTATTTTTAATTAAATCAAAGTGGAAATATTACCAGAAAGAATGTAAAGACAAAGAGATTCAAACAACCCCAGCGAGGCTCAGTGGTATATCTGGGCCAGCTGGAGGAAGGACTTTCCCAAGATGAGCTGATTTGGAGACTCAGAACATCAGAGGGCTGGCCCCCGATATAGAAGGAAGTGGAGCTGCAGTGCTGGACAAACAGCACGTAGAGGGCCTAGTGCCTGGGGTGTGGGGAGGAAACAGGTGTAGCAAGCCAGGTGAGCCAGGAGAGGTCCAAATGAGGGAGAAGGCTAGAGCGAGCTCTGGATGGAGACCAAAAAGCCCTGGCCAGCTCCTCTCAGGCAGAGAAAGAGAGCCCAAAATCCCTCCCAGGGCCTTGCCTTGGGCTCCTTTCTGCCAAGCCCTGGGAATGACAGAGGGCACCCCAGCTGCAATGGGAATAGCTCAGGCAAAGGCAAGGAAGAGAGAGGAAGGGTGAGCAGAGGCCCTATCTCAGTACATCAAGGTGGATGATTAACCATTAAGGAAAGATCAGGACTCCAGAAAACAGGCCGTTCTCAGATGATCATTTCTCTCACTGGACTGATAAATATCTAGCACTTCTTAAGTCACTAAACTTCAAGACACATGAAACCCATGAGACAGCTACAAGGGTCAGCAGCCAACAAACCCCTCCTGCTTGACAGATAGAGAATCGGCCTCTGTAAAGGCAGCTCATCTCTCTCAACAGGCAGGTCAATGACCAGAGAGTTTTATTATAGTGGACTGGGTCACGCCTTCCTGGGTCATCAGTTTTCTGGAAGCATGCGCTGACTCGCAAGTCATGGCCTCCCCGGAACTCTGACAGGAGAGCTTGTTCCATTTCGCACTAATCGTGGCCCAACAGAACAGCTACCAGTCTGGACTTTGGCTCAGAGAGGGCCTCAGAGCCACACAGACACTCCCAGCATTATTTCTCACTGGCCACTGCCCTGGGCTCCTTCCTGCCTACTCCCACGGGCCCAACTGCCATTGCTGCTCCAGCCTTGACACTTGAGAGGCATCTGGGCTTCTCAACCACCTAAACTCAAACTCGAGGAAGCCAGTTTCATCCCCCAGCTGGAAAGTGCAGAGATCACCAGGGGCATGTCCAAGGCTTAGAGCTCCAATAGGCCCCTTTAATTTTCATCCCAGGGAACACGTTGATTCTGTGTGCCCTGTCAGTAAGGTCATGTAGATTGGCCCCCACCCACCTCACTGACAGCAGCAGCACCTCCCCTGCTGTTCCCTCCCTCACTGCATGCTCTGTAAGCCCAAGGACCCTGGCTGCTGGTTCACCATGGGGTTCCCCTGGCTGTGCTGTTGGTCGTGTGTGTGGACTGACTAGGTGAAAGAACAAACAGTAACATACAGGGCTCCATACACAGAATGCTACCCAAAGCCATCTGGGACTTGGTGCTTTAGGAAACCCAGCCCCTATGTGACACTGTTGGGCAATAATTTTGGGGACAGACAAGACAGGTGATTCTACTAAGAACTGCTGATAAGATCTCAAGTCCAAGGGCACCCCTTGACCTGGCCAGTGTGATGACCAAAAGCCCTACCAAGTCTGTTTATGCTCCTCTTTCTCCAGCAAGGAGCAGGAAGGAGGGGAAAAGCCTGTGACTGGTGACTTCTCACCACTGTCGCCCCCACACCACCTGGCCGAAGATGGGGAATAAGAAGAAAAGGTCTACTCAGAACTTCAGAGTTTCATTTGAGGAGGACAGTATATGGGCAACTGGTGAGAGTACAATGGTACCACCACTTGGAAGAACATCTGGCAGTTTTGTAATAAACTAAGCTCACGTGCACATGACCAGCCACCCCACTCATCGCCAGGTACAGGCCCCAAAGACATGAAAACATATATCTACACAGACTTGCACACAAATGTCACTGGAAGCTTTATTCACAATAGCCCCAAACTGGAAATACTCTAGCCCAAAACAAGTGTCCACCCCTGGGGAATGGATGAACGACATGTGGTATAAGCATACGATGGAACACTATTCCACAAGAGAAAACAGACTCCTGATACTTGAAACAATACAGATGCATCTCAAAAATATCACATGAAGGGAGAAGGCAGACACAGAACACATACTGATGATTTTATCTCATGGACGTGAAGTCCATGAGAGGCAAAACTAATCTATGGTGACAAAAATCAGCAAAGAAGGTGCTGACAAGAGGGAGGGTATTACTGGAAGGCCATGAGGGAACTGTCTACAGTGATGCTAATACTCTTGATAGGGATTTGTATTACCAGGCATAAGAATTTGTCAAAATTCACAAAATGGCACACTTAAGATTTGTGCATTTCGCTGTAGGTAAATTTTTACTCAAAAAAGGACTGCAAACAAATACTGAACTCTACATAATTATTGATACATGTGCTGAAGTGTTTAGGGTGAAGTGCATGGAAGTATACTGATTTGAAATGCATCCCATTAGAAAAAAAGACAATGAACTGTTGGATAGACAGGAGGATGGAAAGATAATGCAGATACAATAAAATGCTGCCTATGGAATACAGATGACACAGAAATACATATGGTGTCACTGTGTAAATCTCTCAGTATTTTTGTATGTTTGAAAGTTTTCATTGAAACCCCTTTGGAGAAAGTGACAGTAGCTTTCTAACATTATGGATAAGCAGTTGGGAAGACAGGGTGTGTGAGGAGTAAAGAATAACAAAGGAGAGAGAGCATACTGAAACCAGGGGCATTTTATGGGCTTGAAGAGAAGGGAAGATATTAAGCAAAAGGAGTCTGAGGAGTGAGGGTAATTAAAAAGGAGTGGTTGAGGGAGAGGGAAGGCCGGTGGTGGAGCGGAGGAAGGGATGAGGCAACGGAA